ACTTCACCTTCTAGTGCTGAGGGGGCAGGTTCGATCCCTGGTCGGGGATCTAAGACCCCACATGTCTCACAGCATTATAACAAATTCAGTAAAGACTTTTTAAAAAAATGGTCCACATTAAGTATATATATATGTATATATATATTTTAAAATGGCTTCCCTACCCGCAGTCCTCTCTGGAGGGTCATGTTGTGGTAGCTTACTACGTGACAGTATCATCTACATGCTGTACATTGCTATTTCTCCTAAGCCTCACAGTACCTCTGACTTACACATTATTACCAGCCTCCATTTTATAGATGTGGAGAGTCAGAGAGATTAACAAGGGCAGACATCTGTTAACCATTTACGATCTGTCAAGTACTGGGCTAATTGCTTTAAATGAATTTGCTTGTTTTATCCTTACACGCTTATGAGGCAGGCACTATAATTATCCCCATTTTATAGATGAGGCAATTGAGGCTTAGAGAGGCCAAGGAGCTTGCCAACAGCTGCTTGACCAAGTGTTCCATTCTGCCCTGGACACAGACAGCCAGTCGCCTGATTCAGAGCAAGCATTCCCGGCTCCGCTATTTATTAGCTGGGTGGCCTTGGGTAAATTATTTCATCTTCCTCAGCCTGGTTTCTAATGTGCAAAATGGGGATAAGAACATCACCTCCCTGGTGGGATGGTGGGGTAGGGTGTGTGGGGGGTGATGGGAGGGAGGCTTAAGAGGAAGGGAATTATAAGTATGCATACAGCTGATTCACGTGGTTGTATGGCAGAAACTATCACAACACTGTAAAGCAATTATACTCCAATGAAAAAAATTATTTAAAAAAAATTTAAAAAAATATAAAAAAGAACATCACCTCTATAAGAGGGTGAGATTGAGCACTAAATGAGACAACTCCAGCTAAGGGGTTAGCATGATGTTGACCTACAGTGAGGGTTCAATTGTTGTAATCAATTTTTATTATCAACGGGCTTCTTGCTCAGGGCGCTTTTCCACTCAAGTCAGATTGCTTCCGGAGCTTAGGAATTTTCTGGAAAAACCAGCCCTTCTGTGGTCATCTGAGCTATTTTATGTGGACACTGCTGTGCCGTTTTTCTGTGAGGGGTGGACGGGGCTCCACTTTTACTCAGAGCCAGGGCAGGGGTTATTCTGATTTTTGAGAAGTGAAAGGTTAAAAACAAGTGAGCTTGAGGCAAAGTCATTGTGGGTGTTGCCATGGTGTTTCGTTCTTGCCGGGTCTCTGAAATCAGTTTCTGGTTCAAGCTAGAGGAGCTCTTAGGAACATCATGTACTGCTCCAAGTGCCCTGATGTGGACACACATAAATAAAACAGATGTTAATATCTCCGTTTGTTCACTGCCATGATATAGGGGAAAAAACATGGGCTTTGAGCCTTGGGAACCTCAATCTGAATCCCGACTCTGCCACTTGCAGGCTATTTCCTTAGCTGAGAGTTGGGAAGTTCATGACAATACAGCTAAATGTTACAGAATGCTTCCTATATGCTAGGCCCTTTTTACTCATTAACTCACTGAATTATTTAAAAAGTTGGTAAACTTTATTTTTTTAAGCCATTTTATTTTTTATTTTTTTGACTGTGCCACATACCATGTAGGATCTTAATTCCCCTACCAGGGATGGAACCTATGTTCCCTGCAATGGAAGTGTGGTGTCCTAACCACTAGACTGCCAGGGAATTCCCTTTAAAGCAATAGCGAAAGTGAGCTCAAAGTACAGTGTTCCCATAATACCCTCTTCACCTCCCCACACACAGCCTCCCCACTGTCAACACCCTGCACCAGAGTGGGACAGTTGTTAGATCTGATAAACCTACATAGCACATCATCATCACTTAGTCTATAGTCTACTTTAGGGTTCACTCTCGGTGTTGTACATTCTGTGGGTTTGGATAAATGTATCAGGACATGCATCCATCATTGTAGTATCAAATAGAGTAGTTTCACTGCCCTAAAAATCGTCTGTGCCCTGCCTATTCATCCCTCCGTTATCACAACCCTGAAAACACCTGATCTTTTTATTTATTGTCTCCACAGTTTTACCAAAGAGTTGGAATCATATAACCTTGTCACATTGACTTCTCTCGCTTAATAATATGCATGTTCCACCATGTCTTTTCATGGCTTAATAGTTTATTTCTGAATAAGAATACATTATCTGGATGTATCTCTGTTTAACCATTCAGCTACTGAAGGATATCTCGGCTGCTTGTTCAGTGTTGGCAATTATATATAAAGCTGTTGTAAACATCCATGTGCAAGTGTCTGTATGGATACTTTCTCAAGTCCATTAGGTAAAAAACAAGGAGGACAATTGCTGGGTCATATGGAAAGAGTGTGTTTAGCTTTATAAGAAACTGCCAAACTGTCTTCCAAAGAGGCTGTACCATTTTGCATTCCCATCAGCAATGAATGAGAGTTCCTGTTGCCCCACACTCCCTCTAGCATTGGGCGTTGTCTGTGTTCCAGTTATTGGCCTTTCTAACAGATGTGTAATGATATCTTGTTGTTTTAATTTGCAATCCTCTATGACATGGGTACCTTGGACAGCAAGGAGATCAAACCAGACAATCCTAAAGGAAATCAACCCTGAGTATTCACTGGAAGGACTGATGCTGAAGCCGAAGCTCCAACACTTTGGCCACCTGTTGCGAACAGCCAACTCACTGGGAAAGTGCTTGATGCTGCGAAAGATTGAGGCCAGGTGGAGAAGCGGGTGACAGAGGATGAGGTAGTTAGATTCCATCACTGACTCAATGGACATGAGTTTGAGCAAACTCCTAGAGATAGTGAAGGACAGGGAAGCCTAGCGTGCTGCAGTCCATGGGGTCGCAAAGAATCAGACTTAGCGACTGAATAACAACATGACGTGTGATGAAGAACACATTTTCAAATGGTTATTTGCCATCTGTATATCTTCTTTGGTGAAGTGTATATTCAGGTTTTGGGTACATTTTTAAATCAGATGATTTGTTTTCTTATTGAATTTTAAGAGTTCTTTGTATATTTTGGATAACAGTTCTTTATCAGATGTCTTTTGCAAGTATTTTCTCCCAGTCTGTGGTTTATCTTCTCATTCTCTTGACATTGTCTTTTATGAAGCAGTTATTAATTTTAATTTCAATGAAGTCTAGCTTCTTATTCTTTCTTCTTCTCATCAATTCTTTGTTTCATAAATTGTGCCTTTGGTACTGTATATGAAAAATCATCACCATATTCAAAATCAGCTAGGTTTCCTCCTACGCTACTTTCTACAGTGTTGTGGATATGTTTAGGTCTATGACTCATTTTAATTTTTGTGAAGGGTGTAAGGTATGGGTCTAGACTCTTTTTTTTTTTTTTGCCTGTGGAGGATGTCCAGTTGTTTTAGCACCATTTGTTGAGAAGACTAAATTCATTTGATTTTCAAACTAAACTTTAAGGTGGGCATTTTTAGCCCATTTTTTCAAATAAAAAAACTGAGGCACAGAGAGGTTTTTGTAAGTAACTCAGAGTAACACAGGTAGACATGACAGAGCTGACATTTGATCCCAGGCAACCTGATTCTTGAGTCCATGCATTCAATCCCTATCTATAAAAATAATGTCTTCTTAATATGTTTGTTGTGAGGAATAGAGATAGTGTTTAGCACATAGTACATGCTCAGAAAGCAAGTGTGATAGTCATTGTGCTACCTAGCTTCCCAGGTTTCATTGAAGTGTCGTGTCCTCAGAGCGGCTTTCTTTCATTCCTTCAGCCAAACGAGCCATCCATCATAGCATCATCTCATCATCCAAGGGATGACAGTGTGGTGAATCCTGTGTGCATGCTAAGTCGCTTTAGTCATGTCTGACTCTTTGCTACCCATGGACGGAGCCTGCCAGTCTCCTCTGTCCTTGAGATTCTCCAGGCAAGAATACTGAAGTGGGTTGCCACACCCTCCTCCGTGGGATCTTCCTGACCAAGGGATCTTTCTGACCCAGGGATCGAACCCACGTTCCCTGCATTGGCAGGCAGGTTCTTTATCACTAAGGCCACCTGGGGAGCCCGTGGTGAATCCTACTGCAGTCAAAGTTCACCCCTCAGCCTCACCATGTGAGTTCCCTACCTAGAGGGTCCAAATCTGATATCTCTGTGTTCCTGAGTGCCTGGTGCTGCCCTTGGCACTTAGCAGGGTCTCAGCAAAAGTGTGTTGAATTAAGTTTGGATTGTGTGCTATTCCCTTATTCAAGATGCACATTCTGGGTGTGGTCTCTTCCTCAGAATTTCCCAGCTAATACTCAGCTCTTAGCTCCTGAATCCCCTTGCTCAAACCTTCCCTGGTCTGTCAGGTTGGGCCACCTCTGCCTGGAGAATTCCGGGTTGGGCTGTTTACAGAGGCAGCTGCCCTTGTCTGCTGCACCCTTTTTCCTGCACCACCCGGCTGTTTCTTCCACATTCTGGGGTACCTCCCTTCAGCGTGGACACGGTCTGTAGAAGCGCCCACCTCTCTCTCTCAGCTCAAGACATAAGCCCTTTCTTGGAAACCTGATCTCTAAGTGCCTCTGGCCTCTTCAGGAGAGTCTAACATTCCTTCTCAAGGGGTAGAGCAGCTCACCTGATATTGACGGGACCTGAGGACCCAGGGGCAGACCTCATTCCTAAGAGCTTCTGAAGCTGTTAATCTTGGTATTGTTGGGCTCTTTAGGGAGTGCGTGCCACTTATGGTTATCACCGCTGGGTCTTGGTTCACTCCCATAGACAGCTCCACCTGAAGCATGCCTCTCTCAAACCAGCCCACCGGGAATCTGGGGGGTACATCCTGCCAGTGCCCCCTTGGCAGCCCCTACTTTGGACTGGGCCGTACCGCATCCTCCAGCATCATCCTGTGTCTGCCTCTGCAGAGCTGCTCTGGGGAGATGTGACCCGCAAGACTCAACTGGACAGCACTGCCCCGGGAAGGCACCCTCTTGAACACTGCCAGCAGAGTCCACGGGCACCCGCCTGGGACAGGGCCTATTTTATACACTCAGCGTGACCCCAGTGCCCGCCCTGGGCGCGCCCAGCAGCCTCGGATGCCCGGTGCAGAGCAACCTCCAGGCAGGGCCTCTGGGACCCTCACAGAGGTCTCCAGGGCAGCGCCCGGTGCCCGCCTGGCCCGCTCTGGAGGCGCGCCCAGGCGCTGCCAGGAAGGCCGGCCGTTTATCCCCGGAGCCGCCAGCAGGGAGCTCCCTTTCGGTTCGGCTCGCGCGGCCGCGGGGGGCGGTGCTGTGCTGCGCCGCGCTGCGCTCCTGCCCGGACCGGGCCGGAGCCGCTGGATGCCGCGTCTCCGCTCCTGCTCCCTGCCGGGCGGGCTCCGGCGGCCGGTGAGTGCTGGGCGGCGGGGGCGACCGCTCGGTGACCGGCCGGGCCCGGGGTTGGGGTGGAGGGGCGGCGGGGCGGGCTCGGGCCGGGAAGGCGGGCGGGCGGCGGGGCCCGCCGGCTCCTCCTCCTCCCCTCCTGTCCCCTGGAAGCGGCGGCCCGGACTCCCGGCTCCGGTCCCTGGCCGCGCTGCGCAGCTCGGCGCCGGGGACGCGGGGCCGACCGGGAAGGGGGGCGGGAGGGCGAGCTCCGGCCCCTTTGCCTGCTCGAGCGGCGCGAGGAGGCCGGGCAGGGTGGCCTTCAGTTTGGGAGGGTTCGGGACTGGGGGGAGCCCAGGTGGCCCCGAGCTGCGGGGTGCAGGCTGCAGCCTAGGGGTGTAAGGGGGATCCTTGAGGCCAGGCCCAGGCCCCCCACCCTCGACAGACCGATGGACCGAGGTTCGGAGGAAGAGCCCTTTATCCCTCCCAGCGGCCTTCAACCCTTTCATTGCCAGGCCGACACCGGGCTCGTCTCAAAGGAGCAGCTGCCAGACAGCTGGCAAAACAATGGAGACCCTGCTTGCCTGGGCCCCCTCTCCTTGGGACAGAACATGGGGGTGGAGGGGGGTGAACCGTAGGCTGCGGGGATCAGGACGTGCAGGCTGCCCCCTGCAACTGGCTGCTCACCTCGCCTCTCCCTGCCAAGGGGTGGGGTGCGTGTGGGAAGGTCGGCCCGCCTGCCCCAGGCCTCTGGGAGAGACTGACCCGACGCCCCGCCCTGAGATCCTGTCATGCCAGTTGCTTCACCAATGGGAAGGGGAGGTGGTAAGGTTCGCACCCCCCCCACACCCCCCCACATCCCCACACTACCCCGCACCGCCCTGTTGGGGGTGCTACTGGTACCCAGCCTGGTAAAGAGTGGGTGCTGTTCCTGGCTGAGATAAGGCCTGCAGGGACAAGGCCTGCAGGGACACACTGCATATTGGGGCTTTGTTGGGGGTGGGGTGGAGTGGGGGGTGGGGGTGTCACCCGGTTGCAAGGCACGTGTGTCCTGCTGATTAGTTGGAGAGGCTGCCAGTAGGAGGGGGAGGATGCGGGAGGCTGCCAGCTCGGTTTTGAAGTGGTTCTTCTTTTGCCTGGTCACTTGGCCAATGGGGCAAGTGTTTGGCAGTGTCCTCGTGGTTTGTGTTTATGCAGGGAGGCCTGGGAGGATGCTTCCTGGGAGAGCTCTCCTGCCTAAGGTCTTCCTGCCCTCAGATGGTCCCCCCAAATTATGGAATTGCATTTGCTCCCCGCTTCACCATGGCAATGATTGATGTGGGTTCATTTTGTCTTTTGGAGTGCCTGGTATGCTGGTGGCTGAGGAGGCCTAGTAAAAGCCCCATATAAATAGTTAAATGAGCTGAGTGTGTATGCACTGCAGTCAGGCTGGTCAGGATGGAAGGTCGTCCAGGTGATTAAGAGCAAGATCACCTTAGCAAGACATTGAATCTAGATGATCAAGCTGCCCTTCCAGGTGCTTGCCAGGTCTGGAGCCCTTTTCTTGGGCAGGTTGGTATCCTGTTGTCATGGCAATGGGCTCCACCTTGCCTCCTGTTCTCCACCCTCTTAGCTCAGAAGTTGCTTTCTATTTGGGGATATTGAAAGCTACTCTCCTGAGGTCTCTGGCTTCCGGACAGACTTCACTGGCTCTTTGTCAATGGCCTGCCACCTCCTTAGCTTCCCCTCTGTCCTTTTGTGATGAAGACTTTCCAGGAAATATCCTCCTGGTTGCTGGACATGACTGGTTATATATAGCCTCGGGTGGAGGTGTGCTTGTGCATTTGGGGTTAGGAACATTGAAGCTGGGGCTCAATTCCAGGAAGATGGTGGGGGAAGCTATTGTGTTGGGGGGTTAGGGGAATGAGAAGGGTCACAGGTGAGAGTGCAGGGTGGGTGAGGGAGGGGGGAATGTTGATTGTCACTTCCTGTGGGAGCTTTGAGCTTTGAACAATCGATGACCTGGCTCCTGGCAGCTCTGAATATCTGGTTTGTTTATAGTCTCTTGGCCTGGCTCAGGTGCCAGGGTGTGTGCCCGAGGGCTTCCTCTCATGCTCCAGGCTGTCTTCAGAAGGCTTCAGGTGGATATGCATTTCCTGAATCCCGCCTGCTCCCTCAAGCTCCAGCCTGTTGCCTGGAGCCCCCTTCATTGGTTGAGTTTGCCACCGCTGCTCACTGAGGGGTGCGCGTGTCTTCAGAAAGCTGAATCTGAAAACTCCAGGGTCCCCCCAGAGGCAGGCACCTGAAGGTGGACTGGGAGGGGCAGAACTGCAGAGAATCCAGCCTGCCTGGGTGGAGCAGAGAGCTGCTGGGGCTCAGGAAGGCTTGATCCAGCCTTGCTGTGTCACACACAGGTCTCCAGGGAAGCAGGCCTTCGCTGACTCTTTCTCAGTCAGAGGTCAGCCCTCTGCCAGACCTCCCTCACCTGGAGTGGACGCCACAGACTGGAGCCAGAGCATCCGAGGGAGCAGGGTCCTGCGGGCGGCCCGGGGGCCCAGGCCTTGTCCTAGATCTCTCCTGGATGTGGTGGGTAAAGCCGAGGGGCTCTGGCCTCATGTAGTTTAAACATTTGAGGGGATGGGAGGGCCCAGCCCACGCTGTGCTATGATTAACAGGCTTCCCCGGACTTGGGCTGGGGGCTTGATGGAGCTTTTAAGTTCTGCTTTGCATCAGGCCCTGGGGTTCTTTAAGGTCTGCTCACTGCACCTCCTCACCCCACCCCGCCCCCCTTCACCATTTTTTGAGGCAGCCTAAATTAGAGGGTGAGGTGGTGCAGTGGTGGGAGCTGGATTGGGAAGGGTGGGGAGCAGACCTGAAAACCCCACCCCACCCCCACTTTCCTGTCTTTTCTCTTGAGGTAGGAATTGTGTGGCTTGTAAATTATACACATTCCCTTGACATTTCAAATAGTTTACAGTCAGGCAGCAGTTTAAATTGTGGACTGACGATTTTATAGGGCCCAGGGCCCTTTCTCTCAGCCAAGTACTTTAGAGTCACTCACAAGGAATTGTTTTTGTTATTCTCTAGTATTCAGAGATGTCGGATAACTGGGCTGTCGGTCACGCAGCCAGTCAGCGGGAGAGCGGGATTCGAACCTGCCGTGTGGTTCGAATTGAACGAATTGAACGGAATACCTCTTCGGCAAAGGCCACTCAGGCCCCTGGAGATTTTGGAGTTGGACTAGCTGAGGTCTAGAGAGAGGACGGGACTGGTTCAAGGTCACCCCGGAGGTGGGGTGTGGGGATGTCAGCTGAGGTTGGTGCCCTGCGGGCTGCGGCAGGCCCCGCTCCTGGCAGAGCCGCGGGGGACCTGGCGGGGCTGCTGGCATCGCTCCCGCACTCGTTTCTCCCGGGACCCGCGGGATGGTTGCGTTCCAGGGGAGACGGTATCGCTACGGAGGCGCCGCGGGACCGCGGCTGCCCCGGGCCGGGCCGCCTGGAGGTGCCAGGGTCGAGGTTCCCCGCGCGGCGGGCTGGGCGGGGAGCGGGCGGGCGGGCCCGGCTGACGTCATGTGAGAAGCGTGCAGGCGGAGTGAGCGAGTACACCTGGAGCCAGATAAGCTCCTTGTGGCCGTGAGTCACGGGGCGCAGCGGGGCTCAGCAGCACCGCCCGGAAGAAGCTCCGCGGCGGCGACAGGCGTCACCCTGCGCTGTGCCGGGGAAGCCCCCCACCCTGGGCCACTCGTGCGATTGCTTGGTGCGGGCGGGTGAGCCGGTCAGCGCCCCATCGAGGCCTCGGGGCCGTAGGAAACGGCCGCTCAGGGAGGTCAGAGGCCGAGCGAGAGAGGCCGGCTCTCTTGGGAAAGTATTTCCTTTGTATTTATTTATGAGTGCAGTCGGGGGGTGAAAATGGGGGGACTGACCGTTTTAAGTATCCACCCACAGCAGCCAAGTCTGGGCGCCCTGTCTTGGGATTCTAACGTTATAGTTTCCATTTCCTGGGGTTTCTGCTTTGCCAGCTGCAGGGTGACCCATTTAAATCTGTCCCCGACTTAAAGCCACAAGACACCAATGAGATCTATTTTAACCAAGTCCCTCAAGTCACTTTTTTCCAAGCATGAGAAAGCAAGCTTTGAACTTGCCCTTGCAAACCCGTTTACAGCGGTAACGCTAAATGGATTGCTTACTACTTTGTCAAACCTTCCTTTTTTCTCTTTTGAACTTTAAAATCACAAAAGTAACATGCTAAAAAAAGGTTCGATCTGTAGCAAGTCTACAAGTGTTACCCCTCTTTGCCACTACTCCACAGAGAAAATCACGGATATATTTGTATAATGGATCTTTCCAGGCTATTTTTTTTAAACCTTGTCATGAATATTTTATATATTATGTATTTATAGTTTAATACTGATTTTATATAAGCAGAATTTTATATAAATTTTCTTTCTGTGGGAAATAAAGGGCATGAAGAAAAAAAATTATACATAATCCCACTATCTAAAGGCCCTAGGTTTAAGTGAACACATGCAGGCACACACACACGTACCCCTACCAGCTAAATATTCTCACTGTCAATAATTAAAACAATATGGACAAAACACAGAAGTCGCCTTTGATTCTTTCAAAATCTTTGTCTCTTTACTAGAGTATACATTTTTCTATACATGTGGAAATACTATACATAATACACATGTATATATATGTACCTATATACATAGCTTAAAAGTTTTTAGTAAAAATTATATACTATCTGGAAGCTTTCTTTTTTCATTAAACAATAGAGTATAGAATCTTTCCAGGTCAGTATATACAAATCTACCTCATTTTTTTTCCTCATTCTTTTAAATAACTGTCTATAATAACTGTTCTATAATTATAGCTATTACCCTAGTGATGGATATTTAGAGATAGAATTTTGCTATTACAAACAATGCTGCAAAGATTAACCCCATTTATTGTGTGAATATATCTATAGATGTCCTATAAATGGAACTGCCCTGTCAAAGAATATATATCTTCAAATATTTTCATAGATACCACAAACCTGCCCTTCTTATATCAATTTATATTCTTATCAACGTGTATGAGACACCCTGCTTCTCATCCTCTGATTGATGTTATTAATGTTGGTACTTTTTACTAAATTGCTAAGTGAACACAGTATATCTCTGTTTTATTTCACACATCTGTGATTATTATTGAGGCTGAATACCTGTTCGTGTTTGTTGGCCATTTATATTTCTGCAACTATGAATTGTTGGTCCTTATCTTGGCAATAGTTTTATGGGGCCTCTGGACTTGAGCCAGTGTGATCCAGCTTGGCCCTGTTCTCACTGGATTGTCCTCACTTCTTTGGGCTTTACTTTCCATACACAAAAGTCCTGTCCAGCATTAAGACTGTTTGTCTAGGGACTTCCCTGGCATTTTTGTGGTTAAGACTCTGAGCTTCCAAAGCAGGGGGCACAGGTTCGATCCCTGGTCAGAGAACTATGATCCTGTGTGCCTCACAGCACAGTCAAATAAAAAAAAGA